TCGAATAAAGGCGCTAGCCAGTGCCGCAAAGGCTCCCACCTACGGTGGGGTAAGTGGGAGTCGGATGTAGGGTTGGATTCGGTTCGGGCCACCCGGCCCGTGACCCGGCCCGGCCGGCTACTGTGCGGGCCCGGGACCGGCCCGGTCTGACGGTCCGGGACCGGGTGTAGACCCGAACCGGTGGGAATGGGTGGGGCGGGCATGGTTCCGAAAAAATGTGACCCGGCCGGGTCGGGCCTGGATCCGGGTCTAGGTGTGGACCGGTTCCGGTTTGGGCTCGGTTCGGGTCTGGGCCAGGCCGGGCCTCGGTTCAAGAAGGGGAGGCCCGGAACCGGCCCGGGTAACCCCCGGGTCCGGGCCGGGCCGGGCATCGGTTCTATATTTTTTTTTTTGGCTTTTTCTAGTTAACCCCCAACCCTCCCCACACCCCCAAACCAACCCTAACCACCTCAAATGGCCCAAAATACCCAGTCCAACCCAAAAACTTAACAAAAATTCAAAAAACAAAAACAAAAAAATTGGCCCTGCCCGAGTCCGAACCGGCCGGGCCGGTTCACCTTTTGAAGGGCCCGAGCCCGAACCGGGCCCGGAACCGGTTCACCGGTCCGGGCCGGGCCCGCACAGTAGCGGACCGGTCCGGTTCCGGGCCGGTTGGCCCGGCCCGAGTCCACCCCTATCCGGGTCCAACGGTCCTGTTTTTTTTTTTTTTTTTTTTTTTGTTAAGCCCAAACTAGCCGTTATGGTCTTGGGGGGTGGGGTGGGGACAACCCAAACGGCTATAGAGCCGTTGGGTGGGGTGGAGGGGGGGTCCGGGGGGTTGGGTGGTGGGGGGTAAAAAAACCTATAAATACTCCTAATTTTAAACATTTTTTCATATCTCTTCTCCAATTATTCCTAAATCCTATTCTTAACTCTCTACTCTCTAATTCTCTTACTCTGCAATATATTATATTTATTATTTATAGTTTATATTAATTATCTACTTATAATTTATAAATACATACATTATAGTATTATATTACTTATTACTATTCTCCATATATTATATTTGTTATCTAATTATATATTACTTATATATTTATTATATCTATTAATATAGTTGGAATTATATCTAATTAATTTGAAGTCATTCTATTACTCTCATCCGAAAGACCGAAAGTCCGAAAGAGGTACGAAATTATTCTATTATTTACACTTGTTTAATTTTGTATTAACGTTACTTGAAAAAAAACTAGTTAATTAGGTTGTACAATTTGCTATAACTCGAATGAATAGTTAGATTAATAGTTAATTACTTTATTACAATTTTTTATTAATTGCTACATTTGACTCTAGTTTAAAAAACTAGTTGTAATTCTAATTATAGTTAAAGTTAAAGTGTATTAATTTCATTGTTAGTAAAAAAATAGGTTGTACACAAAACTAGTTAATTCACTAGTTAATTTGCTATAACTTGAATTAATAGTTAGATTAATAGTTAATTACTTTTTCACAATTTTTTATTAATTGCTACATTTGACTCTAGTTTAAAAAAATAGGTTGTACACAAAACTAGTTAATTCACTAGTTAATTTGCTATAACACGAATTAATAGTTAGATAAATAGTTAATTACTTTTTTACAATTTTTTATTAATTGCTACATTTGACTCTAGTTTAAAAAAATAGGTTGTACATAAAACTAGTTAATTCACTAGTTAATTTGCTATAACTCGAATTAATAGTTAGATAAATAGTTAATTACTTTTTTACAATTTTTTATTAATTGCTACATTTGACTCTAGTTTAAAAAAATAGGTTGTACACAAAACTAGTTAATTCACTAGTTAATTTGCTATAACTCGAATTAATAGTTAAATAAATAGTTAATTACTTTTTTACAATTTTTTATTAATCGCTACATTTTTTAGATGGATCGTCCTAGATATTCGATTGATATGGGTAACCTCGAGCGCAACCGAATGAAAGAGCTTGCGAGGAAGAGATCCCGCAAAGGTAAATCACATATCGGCTCTTCATCTCAAAGTCGAGATGATTTTGATACGGGTTATGCAAGGAGGGATGGGGATGCGATGACCGACGAACAACTAGAACAAGAATTGCACCGACATAATTCCCGCTTTTTTCAAGACCAACCGAGGACCATTGACGAAGAAGAGCTCGAGGATGAGGACGACGATGTGGAGGAAGTAATTCCGGAGAGCCACGACGACGAGGAGGAGGAGGGTGGCGGCAGCCATGACGCCGACCAGTCTGCCTCATCCCAAACAGGTACAAAAAAAGTAAATCTGAACTAATGGCTAATAATTTTTCTAAGTGGAAGGACCCGAACAACGGGAATTGGACCGCAACTTGCAATTGGTGCAAGAAAAACTATAGCTTGGGGATTTCCGGCGGATACGGATCCGCCACAAGACACCTTAAGTCCAAACACCCGGTGGAGTATGCAAAATTAGGCAGCGGAACGGGGAAGCAAACTCAAATATCGAGGTTTGCAAATAACCAACAACCTTTTGGTAATTTCTCATACAATGATGCACAAAATTTGACAGGTATGGCTAACTTACTTGTTGAAGAAAATTTGCCTTATTTGTTTTTTGAAAGTCTTGCTTTTCGTGATTATGCACAAACTTGTTTAAATCCGCAATATAGAGGTTATAGTCGCAAAACGGTTAAGAAAAAAATTTCAAGGCTTTATGGTGCAGAAAAGGTAAGGTTACAAAATTATTTTGCAAACTTTGATGGACGTGTTACTGTATGTTCTGACATATGGGAGGATACTTATCATAATTTACATTATTTGGGTCTGACTGTACATTATATTGATAATGATTGGCATATGCATAAACGTGTTCTTGCTTTCCGTGAATTTAATGATCGTCATACCGCTGAACATATTTATATTTTGATTGAACGTATTTTAATTGAGTATAATTTAATTGATAAGGTGTTTGCTATTGGTTTTGATAATGCTACTAATAATACTGCTGCTATTCCTAGATTGCGTGAATTGTGTGGTTCTACTTCTTTGATGGGTAGATTTTTTCATCAACGATGTGCATGTCATGTTCTAAATTTATGTGTGCAAGATGGTCTAAAAGCGTTGGGAGCATCGTTGGAGGTAGTCAAGGGGGGGATTAGACGTATTTGGGGTAATGGACAACTTAGGAAAAAATGGCATGATTATTTGATAGAAAGAGGAAATGTGGCTTTTCCTAAAGATTTGTCTATTCGTTGGAATAGTACCTATAAGTTAATTGGAGTTCTTCTTAGATATAAACAACATTTTCCTGCTTTTATGAAACAATATGATAACTATATTATAAACTCGGCTGAGATCGACACCTGTGAAAAAAATTGTAATGCTTTGATATATTTTGATAATGCAACTAAAACTTTTAGTCATGTTTATAAACCTACCTCAAACCAATTTATTCGTGAAGCTGTTAATCTCGCCGGTGCTTTTTCAAATTTTGAGAATGCTGATTATGTGAGTTATTTTGCTAGTTTTATGAAGGAAAAGTTTTTATAATATTATTCACATATTCTGCATATTTATGGTATTGCATTTATTCTCGATCCTCGTTTTAGACTTGGTTCTTTAGAAGAATGTTTGAATTATTATTATGTTGCTTTTTTTGGTCCATTGCCAATGTATGAGGACAACCCAATTGATCCAAAAAAAGAATACAACGAGGTTAGTGAAATATTTTATGCATTATTCAATGAGTTTCATGCACAATATGGCAATGCGCCCGCTCCCCCGACACAAACATCATCTAAAGGAAAATCAATTTTCAAATCTACGTTTGCCAATCTTATTAAAAAAACGAAATCAACTCCCGTTACACAACAAAGCACAATTAATGAGATTTCTTTGTATTTAACATATGATGTTGATTTTGAAGAAGATGATGATTTTGACGTACTAAACTGGTGGAAGGGAAAAGAAAGAATGTTCCCGGTTTTAGCAAAGATGGCTAAGCAAGTGCTATCAATGCCGGTTTCAACGGTTGCCGTGGAACAAGAATTTAGTTCGGCCGGCAATGTCCTAACGCAAACCAGAACGAGGTTGAGCGCAGAATCTCTTGAGATGCTTATATGCTACCACGATTGGTTGAAAGCAGCCCGTAGAGCTCAAGAAATTGACATCACCCCATCCCAACACTTTATGGATGAATCTACAACCGAGGGTGGCTCTACCTATGCCGGAGATTCCGATTGAATGATTGATTAGTATTTCATGTTTTAATTTTACCTTCAATTCTCAATTGTAGTTCCTATTTAATTTCAAATAAATGCACTTGAAGTTTGTTTTTAATACTTGTATAAAACTATAAAATATAAAATATAAATTATAAAAACAAAAAAAAATCTTTAATCGACCTGGCCCGGCCCGGCGGGTGGCCTGACCTGGCCCGGCCCGGCGGGTGGCCCGACCCGTGGCCCGACCCGTGACCCGGGCGGGTGGCCCGGGCCCGACCCGGCCCGAGTCCATGACTAGTCGGATGTACGCAGTCTTACCCTTGTACTAAAGCATCAGAGAGAGTGTTTCCGGATGACCCATAGTGAAAATCGCGTTCAAAATTGCATGAACTGATTGCTGCTCCATAACAAAAAGCACCATTTTGCTTTTTCCCATCATAATCTTAAGCTAAAAAATAATGAATCTTTGACTCCATTGCAAATGATGGAAATTGGTTCTAAACTAGTTCCGTAACAATTTTAGTTGGTTCACAAACAAGTGACACTGGTCTAGTTTAAGTCCCAAATTGAACGCGTGTCCAACATTAGTAGCAACTTGCAGGATGGATGTTTAGGAAAAATGCTGAACCATGTTTGTTTAAAGGAAATCATGACTAGGAAGAGTAATTGTGATGATAATTTATCAATCGTTATTCTTTGTTAAAGGGGAACTTGAAAAAATGTTGGTATTTGACTATTTGAAATGAAATTTGAGTTTTAATTTCATCTTTTTGTTACGTAAGAAGATTAAAAATGCAAGCTACGAATGTGAAACGAATAAAATGATCAGCATTATCATTAATGTAGGAAGCTTAAATTTATAAATAACATCAATCTTGGATATACACCAATCGCTCTTTGTTCCAGACTTGCAACAAATATCACTTTTCATATCCTCCAAACCCATTGTTCAAGCCGAAGCTGCTTTAAACGAGGACCCAAAGGTGGCTTACTCTTCCGTGGACACTGCCATTTCCCAATGATCTGAGATGCATCAGATGGTGGTTGATTCTGCTGAGCTTTAGTGACGACTGAAAGAATCCTTCCTGCAATATGCTTCGGCTTCCCATTGATGGATTTATCTTTGGTTGGATCACTAAGAGTCAAAGACTGGTTTTCATCATCATGTCTCCTACTTCTGACCTTTATTGTAGAGATGAAGCCTTTCTCTGCAACACCATTTCTGACTCCGTCTCTGTTGATGCTACCCCCAGCCTCCATTTGGGGTGACTTTCCGATCACTTTACTAAAGCACTCACTCTTCTGCATTTTCATACAAAAATGTTGTTCTCAATGATTTATTTAGTGCAGGAAAGAAAAACAGAAGGCTGCATTTTATTGAAAAATGCTCCGTCTGCTTTCCCAAGTTTCCATTAAGCAATTTGGTCCTAAGTCACTATAACAAGCAAAAACAGAGTTCAAGAATAGTATACTCTAACAAGTTCCCACCATCCGAGACATGTTATATGAACCCACTTTTTCAGTGGTTGATATACAGAGAAAAGTTCGCGCTTTCTCCTTAGAAGGAAAGCCGTCTCACATTTATCAAGTGCAAAAAAACATTAACATGAAAGATTGGGACACAGATCCCAATAACTATGGAAAGACTGATTTTCATCATCATGTCTCCTACTTCTGACCTTTAATGTAGAAATGAAGCCTTTCTCTGCAACACCATTTCCGACTTTGTCTCTGTTGATGCTACCCCCAGGCTCCATTTGGGGTGACTTTCCGGTCACCTTACTATAGCACTCACTCTTCTGCATTTTCAATGATTATTTAGTGCAGGAAAGAAAAACAGAAGGCTGCATTTTATTGAAAAATGTCCCATCTACTTTCCCAAGTTTCCATTAAGCAATTTGGTCCTAAGTCACTATAACAAGCAAAAACAGAGTTCGAGAACAGTATACTCTAACAAGTTCCCACCATTATATGAACCCACTCTTTCGGTGGTTGATATACAGAGAAAAGTTCGCGCTTTCTCCTTAGAAGGAAAGTCGTCTCACATTTATCAAGTGCAAAAAAACATTAACATGAAAGATTGGGACACAGATCCCAATAACTATGGAAAGACTGATTTTCATCATCATGTCTCCTACTTCTGACCTTTAATGTAGAAATGAAGCCTTTCTCTGCAACACCATTTCCGACTTTGTCTCTGTTGATGCTACCCCCAGGCTCCATTTGGGGTGACTTTCCGGTCACCTTACTATAGCACTCACTCTTCTGCATTTACATATAAAAATATTGTTTCTCAATAATTTATTTGGTGCAGGAAAGAGAAATAGAATGTTGCATTTTATTTAAAAAAATGCTTGTCTACTTTCCCAAGTCACTAATAAGCAATTTGATCCTATAAGTCGCTATAACAAGCATACATAGTTCAATATTGGTATACTCTAACAAACCACCACCATTCGAGACATGTTATATGAACCCTCTTTTTTAGTGGTTGATATACAGAGAGAAATCCGCCTTTCTCCTTAGAAGGAAAGCGCTCTCACATCCATCAAGTAAAAAACTATAAAAATTTACATGCAAGGTACGTTACTAGTTAATTCTTTTATGATAGAGATCTCAATAACTATGAAAAGACTGGTTTTCATCATCATGTCTCCTACTTCTAACCTTTATTGTAGAGAAGAAGCCTTTCTCTGCAACACCATTACCGACTTCGTCTTGGTTGATGCTACCCCTAGGCTCCATTTGGGGTGACTTCCCGGTCACCTTACTATAGAACTCACTCTTCTGCATTTACATACAAATACATTGCTTCTCAATCATTTATCTAGTGCACGAAAGAGAAAAAGAAGGCATCATTTTATTGAAAAAATGTTGCGTCTACTTTCCAAAGCCTCTAATAAGCAATTTAGTCCTATAAGTTGCTATAACAAGCACCTAGAGTTCAAGATTGATATACTCTAACAAGCCACCATCATCCAAAAAATGTGGTCCTATAAGTTGCTATAACAAGCACCTAGAGTTCAAGATTGGTATACTCTAACAAGCCACCATCATCGGAAACATGTTATGTGAACCCTCTTTTTTAGTGGTTGATATACAGAGACAAGTCCATGCTTTCTCCTTAGAAGGAAAGCCGTCTCACATCCATCAAGTACAAAACTATAAAAGTCCACATGCAAGGTACGTTACTAGTTAATTTCTTTTATGATAGAGATCCCAATAACTATGGAAAGACTGATTTTCATCATCATGTTTCCTACTTCTGACCTTTATTGTAGAGATGAAGCCTTTCTCTGCAATACCATTACCGACTTCATCTCGGTTGATGCTACCCCCAGGTTCCAATTGGGGTGACTTTCCAGTCACCTTACTATAGCACTCACTCTTCTGCATTTACATACAAAAACATTGTTTCTCAATCATTTATTTAGTGCACAAAAGAGAAATAGAAGGCTGCATTTTATTGGAAAAAATGTTGCTTCTGCTTTCCCAAGTCTCAAATAAGCAATTTGGTCCTATAAGTTGGTATAACACGCACACAAAGTTCAAGATTGGTATACTCTAACAAGCCACCATCATCCGAAACATGTTATATGAACCCTCTTTTTTAGTGGTTGATATACAGAGACAAGTCCACGCTTTCTCCTTAGAAGGAAAGCCGTCTCACATCCATCAAGTAAAAAACTATAAAAGTCCATATGCAAGGCATGCATTCCTCATTAATTTCTTTTATGATAGACCCCAATAACTATGGAAGAAGTATTTTATGAGATATGTTATGACTCTTTATTCCACCACTAAAGAAAACAAGCCAGACTTTTAATATAGATGATAAGGTGAAAGAAAACTGCAAACATCATCAGCATGGCTAGTGCTAGAAAGTGCAAAAAACAGATGGGCAGAAAACAAATATGAATCTGATCTAGGAGAGAAATTAGGAGCCGACCATTTGTAGCCACTAAAAGGATTTGTTCCTGGAAATGTAATTTATATGTCAATCTATCTACACACCCGCAGATGCATACAACATTCACACATAGGAGAGAGGAGACACCATCATCATTCGCAGCCCCTTAGTCCTAAAAATGGAGTTGGTGGCATGAAATTAGTGTCACTTTTTTCAAAAGTGTTCAATTTCTAGTCTCAATTGATTGCCAAACATGTAGAATTAGTAAATACTATAAATTAATGTAGAAACAACTTTCTAGTTAAACCATATCAACAAGGCATAGTTGAATAAAATTGCAAAACAATAGATGAGTTGAGATAGTAAATGTTGGCATTTTTTCATGGATCGCAACACATGCAATATCGATGAGGTGACAACTTCCTCTTATGTATTGGATTGTAACAAATGAACAAGAACACCTACCTTTGGAGAAGAAGGCTGGTTGATATTCTTTATATCCATGAAAAACATTTCTGTAGAGCCTAAGTTCTCCCATTCCCTTTGGCCACCACCATTGTTACTTTCTTCAAAGTCAAATTCACTTTCTTCATATTCAGATAGAGTAAATCCATCACTGCTGTCTAATGTTGGAGATTCATACACATAGCTGGGGAACCATTTCTTAATATCAAGGGGCTCTAGCAGAATGAATGCAGAAAAATAGAAGTCAACATGAGGATATTTTGTATAAACCAATTGTAACTGTGATAAGACTTAAGAGCGAAATCTAGAACTGACAAGAAGGTAAGTTAAAGTTTCATAGACATATGTTACGCTGTGAGTTTTTGAAATAGTTGGGAGGAGAGTTGCACCTGAAGAAAGTTGAATGTCGTCTGAAGATGAGATATTCTGAATGATAAAGATAAACAACTCCAAGATTAGGGTAATGAATAAATGAGACTTTAAAGTTTAAAAAAAAATCTCAAACATTTCCAAAGGACGAGATGACACCATTGACCCAAAGAAAAACTATGTCACCTGACTTACAATTTCATTTTATCCCTTAAATGTATTGGACTCAAGTCACTCAACAAGGCCTTCTGAAAGCCAAGAGAAACTTTTTTCCTTCAGTCCATTTCTAATGCATTTGAAATCGAGCTGTCTCTGTCTCTCTGGCCACCATAGTCATTGGCATCATTATCATTTGATTGTGGGACTCCAGTATGAGTATATTCATCATTATCATTACAAAAAATTTAGTGTATTTGGTATATGTGCTTTCTCTTACAGAATATGTCACCATACAGTGTGAATTTCTTTTCTTTTGCGTTGCACAGGACAATCCAATAAATTCCGATTTCTCACTAGTGCGACAACATCGCTATCAAAGGATAAAACTCATTAAAAACAGATTATTTTCTAAAGTCAAAACACGTCGAGGAAATCTTGTTCCCATTAACGCCAAAGATTCACACATATAGGAAATCAGAATAAAGAACAACAGTGGAAAGACAGTAAGACAGAAACACGCATTCTTAATCACCCACTCGAGAAGGACACCTATTTGGAGAAGTGGAAATTGTAGAGGCATAAAGAGGACAAGTAACCTAACCGGATTCATGACATAGGGGTTAGCTTCAACAGGAAGCCTTCTCTTGGGTGCTGAAGTAGCCATTGTTATCGACCTACCTGCTTTCCCTCGCTTTATTTGTTTTGTTTTGTTTGGTTGGAGTAAAATGATCCGGCTGCACTAATTGAGTTCCCGCGAACCCGGCCAAATTCGTGAGAAATCAATGGATGATATTGAACTTCATCACTCCATTTCAAAACCATTAATTTATGCATCAATTCGTCCAAAACTTTTGAAAGAGTAAGGTGGAAAGTCAAACAATTTTATACTCTCCTTCCCAATTTGATAGTCTCATTTCTTTTGGGCACAAGTTTTAATAAAGTGGTTGAAAAAGTAAAAGTTGTTGTTGAGATTTGAATATAATAAAGTGAAATTATATGGATCTTTCTTTCCAAAAAGGGAAACATGACCATCATTTTGGGACATCCCAAAAAAGAAATACAAGATCATCATTTTGGGACGGAAGGAGTAATAAGTTGAATTATATACAAATTTTGAAAATATGGTATAAAGTCAATTATCACCCAAAACATAGAGTGTAAAGTTAAATTTTCCCGATTAAATATTAGTGGTGGTCTGGTGGATCGCCGACCCTGAAGGTAGCCGGAATCCGAGAAGTAAGGGAGAATAACGGGGAAAATGCTAAGTAAAATTGGGTATAAAAAATTCAGCAGAGTAACAACAATAAAATTCTTTTTTTGATCTCTTTCCACACGTTGGAAAGTGATATTTATACTAAAAGGGTAATACTTGGTGCCCAAGAAAAAATATGTTATTCTACTGTGGTGAGGACATGTGTCACACCTGTCTAATAAAATAATCAGACTAGTCTAATAGTATGGTGACACGTGTAAAGGTGATTGGAGAGAAAATTAGGACAACTGGCTGCTTGGAATTGTGCATAACATATTCATGTGGGTTATACGTGTACTCTCTGGAATATTCTTCATCTTATCCGCTTGGAGTGATGTGGCGCTTCGTACCGTGTCAGTGACGTGGCGTTAGTTTGTGTGACACTTGATTTCGTGAAATGCTTAAGTTCATACAACGTTGGTGAGACCCCGAGCTCCTAGAGGTCGTAGCTCGGGAAAGTTGAGCTCATATATGGAGGAACTAACTCTGGTCTTCAGTTTGTTCGGTAGTGATTTTTCTGTTGGCTCTTGTTGACTTTGGTTGACCTCGCATTAATGCCCTAGGTCGGAGTTGGTCCCGACCTCGGTGTGCTCGAGGTCGACCTCATACTTTGCCTTATTTGGAGTCTGGACGATCCCCGAGCTCGATGTTCGTGCCGAACTCGGGGGGTCGAGGTTGGCCTCAGCTAGATTTCTGGCCTTTGTCGATTCATTGTCTTATGTTATGTCTTTTCCCGACCTCGATTGTCGAGGTCGGCCTCGGCTGGAACTTCCATATTTTTTTCCGTCGATTGTGGTACCCCTGAGGTATATGTGAATATACTAGGGGTGTAAACGAATCAAATAATTCATGCTCGATTCGTGATTCGAATTCGTATAAGGCTATTCGAATTCGAAACATTCAAATACAAATAAGAAACTAAATTTGATTCGAATTGTTATAAAATACAAATAAGAATATTAGTGTATTCGGTTCGAATGTTAATCAAATATATTCGATAAATAATAGTAATAATATTAATAATAATAGTGATAACATTATAATAATTATTAAAAGATAGCTATACCGCAAAGTGTAGCCCATATATTCATTTACGTATACAAATCTTAAGCCTATTTGTAATAAGTCGGAAGTATCATACGGAGTAAGGGTTGTAAATGAAGCAAATAACATTAATTCGATTCGTAATTTGGATTCAAAAATGATGATTTGAATTTGAAAATATATAATATAAATACAAATACAAATAAGTTTTTTGGTTCAAATGTCTTTCAAATACGAATACAAATAATTATGTGTTCAATTCAAAGAATAATTAAATATATTCGTTTATACATATACAAAATCAACTACCTAATATACATGTATGTGCATCAACTATCCACTATATGTGTGTGTATAGTTTAAATTATACTTCGTATATCTAATGGTTTTTTATTAACAACAATGCTAAATATCTAACATAAAATTAGAGTTGTTTGACTTTGGTATAAACGATTATCAACTTTTATCACACATTATAAGTATAATTTCTAATATTTGTGTGTTAGTGTTTATTTCAAAATGTATGAAATAGATGTATATTTATAAATTGATTCACTTTATTATATTGTACACAATCTAAAAATGCATTGATCCATTAATTTTTAAGAAAATGTAATGTTACAATCAAATTCTAAAAACACATATTAAGTCATAGCATGCATTTATAACATAAAAATATAGGAATTTTTTTTAAAGTGATATTTGACTAATATATAACTTATGTTCAAATCGATTCAATATTCGTATATTATTCGTTAACTATTCATATTGTTACAAATACAAATACAAATCAAAAAGAATATTCGTATCATATTCGAATTCAGGTTCGTAATCGAAAAAATTAAACAAATACAAATACAAAATCTCACTATTCGACTTGATTCGGTTCGTTTACAACCGAAGAACATACTCCATCATGAGTCCCCCACCCTCCGAAGCGAAAGTGACACTTGAGATGAGAGAGAGTAAATCTTCAATCTTCTGGGCTTTTGCCTGGCGGGGGCACTTCTCTCCATGGCCACGACAAAGTGGTGCCTCATTAAAAACTCCGCTGAGGAAAAAAACATGTGGGAAAAAATCCTAATGGAGGAAAAAGAGTACACTCCGCTTTGAAATGACTTCCAGAGAAGAAGGCGACGCCCCACTGCAACGGAGTATGAGCTCGAGCTCGAATTTTCCTGTTCTGTTGTTCTAATTTCCTGTTTTTGCAAGCTAGTTGCTACATCCACGGCCTTGACCGAGGGTTGATAAAAGTTTTCAATAAATCTCAGAATTTAAAGTAATAAATATATAACGAGTTTAGCGTGCGGTTATACCTCTTGAGTGGTGCTGACGTGGTTGTTGTTGTGCTCTGAGTTGTGGTATTGATGTCCTCTTCTTTTTGTAATTCGTCTGAGTCCCCTAGTTACCAGTCCCCCACTCTTGTATACTAAGAGAGAAATTCTAAGTGTATAAGAGTATGAGCTTGAGAGGGACGAGGTAGTTTGTTTTGAAGACTTGGTGGACTTGAGATTTTTTTTTTCATTTGAAAGAAAATGATATGGCATGTAGTAACGTTGTTGTGTACAAATAGGAATTTATAAATATTCCTTTTGCAACATACATAATTATTAGCCGTTCTTTGCCATTAATGCAAGACAAGGCTTTCAAAAGACTTTTCGGCACCATCATTGCACTTTTGCAAGCCCTTTTGAGAAAAATTCTTTAGTTTTTCGTGCGGTTAATTCCTGGCCAGCCACGTGTCAGTTTCCCATTCAATTTAGAGGGAAGTATAAAAGGTGAGAAACTTCGTCTCTTTTCTTTGTGCTTTCTTGCTTTCGAACTCTAAGAATTCTCAAGCAACTACAGAGCTCTCAAGTCCACTCCGACCAAGGTTTTCAGTGTCCTTCGTCGTTGTCATTCTCCTTTTCAACAGGTTAGAACTCGCATTCTTCTTTTTTCAGCATTTATCTGTTGTTCGTTCGTCGGAAAACTTAGAGGAAGGGGTTTTCCGTCGAACTGGTTCTTTGAGCGCTTGAGGGATTAAAACGCCACAATGAGATTGAAGTTGGTACTCCCAGACTCGGAATCAGACGAGGATGTCGATTCCGGTCTCCGATTTTTGTTAGGGGGTTGGATTTTAGTTCCGCATCTGGTATTTTGCTTCTACGCGCTCCACGCTATTTTTTGCAGATTGCAAGGATGGTTTCTCAATCCGACTCTGCTAGAACCGGTGAAAGGGCCCACAGTGACCTCCCCTTTGGTTATGATGATGTCGAGGCTTTGAGGGAGGTTGGTATCAACGAGGAGGTTGATGACACGGCTTCTGTTCTGACATTGCTCCCCTTTGTTCCTTCCGTTTCGCAAAGCGTGGGAGAAAGAAGAAAAATGGGGTTGAGATTGGTGTTCTGGCACGGCCCTCTGGAGGCTCACTGCTCATTTTCTGATCTCGACTGGGGCAAGGCCAGGCGTTGGGCTAGGCCCACTATTGACATAGTTCGGCCGGATGCAGATAGTCTCTCATCATCCTAATCTCTGGGTTTCTTCATGGTGCATCAGGATGCTCTAGAGCATGACTTCCGGTTTCCTCTACACCCGTTCTTTGTGGAGTATCTCAACTGGGTTGGGCTGCTCCCTTGTCAAGTCACCCTCAACGGGTTCTATCTGTTCGCCGGCTTCTTGCTTCGCTACCAAGAGCTTGGGTTGGAGATCAGTATAGATTTATTCCGGCACTTATTCAACATTGGGCTCAACCCTTCGAAGGGGAATTAGGGTTATGCCGTCATCGCTCATGTAGGTGGCAGAAGCGGGTTTCATAATATTCCCACTTCTCACCATGGTTGGAAGAAAAGGTTCATGTTCATCTGTACCAACCAGGAGGAAGGGTCTCCCTTCACGGCTGTAGGGTCCAATACCTTCAACAGGCACAGTGATGGGGAGCTGGGCCTTTTTGCTGATGTCGTTCAGACCTACGTTGAGTTCGGTTACCTGGACATCAAGTTATATGTGACACAGGAGATGCTGGCGAAGAAACTTGGCTTCATCATCTATTTTTCCCTTCCTACTGAGGATGATGGGCTTATGATCGAGGAGGAGAATATGAATGTTGACGATGCTGCCGTTGAAGGCCAGGATGCAGAGCCTGGAGCTGACGAGAAAACTGTTGCTCAAGAGGAGGCTGACTTAGCCACAACCATTGCAGCCTCCTTGGCTGATAGAGTGATAGGTAAGGGATTGCTGTAGTTCGAACTGCCTCCGAGGTGTTGGCCTGGGACCTCTAACGGTGTGTTCAGAAAGTGTTCATTTGTGTATTTAACAAACAATATATTTATGATTGAGTATACATAATATATATCACAAACACAACATAATTAATTTTCTGGACACAACAATCTAAATATGACAAACTTAGCAATTAAAATCAATACAAATTAAAACATGATAAGAACAATTAATTAACCAATTTCTAGCCCCAAATTTATTTAGCTATACATGTTGGGAAGCATAGAAATAGATGAATCCATACTTGAAGTACAAGATTTAATGAGATAAGGAAGATCAAACTTGT